CCAAAGGAGCTTGCAAAGAAAAGCGTCTGGACTTCTTTAAGTTACTTGTAGACGTTTCACCTCTCATCCGAGAAGCTTCTTCAGTTCTAAGGTCAAATGCTGGAGAGTCCCAGATATAAACCTAGTGGGAATACAAAAGGACAAAAGCACCCCCTGATGATCCTCTAATCGCCTGAGCCAAGGTGTGAAACTGGGTGTGGGTCCCAATCAGCCAGAGTTTCGGGTGAGTTCATTGTGAAACCTGGCCCCACCTTATCATGCGAATTCCTGAGATCAGATGGCCCAGGATGTGAGTGGGCGTTAAGGCGTCTGGGAAGGGATCTCAAAACAGGATTATAGATGGCAGAGAGTTGGTGTCGTAAACCCCCGCCTCTGTTCAAAGATGGTCGCTCACAGTGGACATAGATGGCTTCTTTCACTCCTCTTTCAAACCATCTGTCCTCTCTGTCCAAAATGTGAACATTGGCATCCTCGAAAGAGTGTCCTTTATCCTTAAGATGCAGATGGACTGCTGAGTCTTGTCCTGTGGAGGTGGCTCTTCTATGTTGTGCCATGCGCTTGTGAAGTGGCTGTTTGGTCTCTCCAATGTAGAGGTCTGGGCATTCCTCGCTGCACTGTACAGCATACACCACATTGTTAAGTCTGTGTTTTGGCGTTTTATCTTTCGGGTGAACCAGTTTTTGTCTGAGCGTGTTGCTGGGTCCAGACGCTTTTCTTTGCAAGCTCCTTTGACTACGATGACCTGGATGACTGAGAACCTTCACAGACATCAGTAGTTACCATGCCTACCTAGCCGCATGAGAGCCGTTTTCAGTCAACAACCTCCATTTTAGACACACCTACAGACACGTGACTGGACAGACGCCACATGCAGTAAATTTGGGCCCACATGGGTTTTGGCATTGCAACGTCCAATTGGTTGAAGTGATGTGAACGTGGCATCATTACTGTCATTCTATTGGCTCAAACGATTAAAAAGATGTGTCAATCATGCAAATTGACCAAAAGTAACCAAAATTACAGCCCCTCAGAATTTAAAGGGCCAGAGACCAATTAAACGCTCCATGCGCTAGGCAGTAAAGGGCCATTGCCATGTAAATGTGTGGTAAATTCTTCAAATATATATTTTTAAAAAAAGCATTTTTAGGCCTGTTAATAAAATGTATTAATTTCTGCTCTTTAATACCTAAAAAAATCAACTGGCATGGTGTCCAGTTGTGTGCCAAAATTGGACATTTTTGTACAAGGTGTGGATATTCATGTATTGACAGTGCTGTAATTTTTCACTGTTTCACTTTAGAAACATAAATCTTTGCACAGATGATGTTTATATGTTGGTTACTGAATTTCTGAAATGAAATGTGAACCGAGTCATATTTTTAAAAGGGTTATATGCTAAAAATTAAAAAAAAAAAATTACAGTCTCAGTAACTTTCTCAGTACTTTGACACAGTAATGTCTGCTTCAATATTTACACCTCTGATGAAATTTCACAAGTGTTAGCTTTATTTTGATACCAAGATTGTAAGGACAGAGTTTGTAATTGCAGAGACATAATCAATTAAATTTGGGCATTACATTTTCGAGCAGGAAACTCAGAAACCCCCTTGGGGCTTAAGAGGTTATATTTTATACCCTTTCGTCACCTTCATGGACAAAAACTGAAAATGCACAAAATCTGCCGTAAAATTGGCAGAAAAGAATATATTTTTGTCTTTTTTTCATTAAGTTCTTAATCAACTTGAGGTCTTTTCAAAATGATCACACATTAAGAGATTTACAGCAATTTTCAGATGATTTAAGATATTTTAAAATGACAGTTTAAACATTTTAATTATTAATTGTTTGTTGAAGTGTTTATTTTGCATATAATACATAGTAGGGGCAAGGGACACTGGTGGTGATCCGAGTCTTGGACATGTCAAAGATCAGCAACAAAACTGATTTGATTGTAATGTTATTGTTTTGTGAAGTGCAATGGAGAATAATGCCCTGTTCATGTCCACTGAAACCACTTTTTTTATCTCTCCGCCAACACGGTATAAAACAATGCATTCTGTACTGTCAGCTTTTAATTTTAAGGAAAAGCATTTGACATTTTTTTACTGTATTCTACCAGATCTAACCATTTTGCTACTGTAGGCCAATGCATGAAATTCTTGTATATTTGTCAGTTATATTATGGAGCCGTGTGTGTGTGAAACAATTTTCAAATCAATAGTTCAGATTAGTGTACAGTGTTTGCTGTAAGTGCCCATTTATTTCAATTATACATTAAGTTTTATAATAAAGAGTTGCATTTATATTTTAATGTGTTCAAGTATGTTTAGTAATTTATATTTTAGTAATTTAGTAAGTTCCATTAAGAGGGACCCAACATATTTAAACATTTTTAAAAGTAACGCGATAGTTACTTTTCCTGGTAATTAGATATATTGTGATAATATTGTGACTCAGTTACTAACTTAGTTACTTTTTTGAAGAAGTAACTAGTAACTATAACTGATTACTTTTTCAAAGTAACTTGCCCAACACTGCTTACAGGACAGACACAATAAACATATGATTTAAAGAATATAATGCTGGACATTAAACAGAATATAAAGTATAAAGTATTTAATATGAGCTCAAATGTAAACATATACAGCAGTAATATTAATGCATCATGTGTAGTGACGTGTTTTCACAGTGTTTGATTGCATTTTTTTAAAAAAGGAATAGTTTGAAAAATTCCTACACCACTTGCCATTACTAGCTGATAGTAAATAATTGGTGGTAACATAGTAGATATTTGTCTAACTACAGAATAATATTTTACAATTCTTCAGCCACTTAGTACTGCCGAAGGTGAAGATTTCCATGTTGAGTGTAGCCAGACAGAGAAAATGATGTGTTTTTATTAGATCAAATTTAACTTGAAAATTGGTAAACAGTGAAGGAAGGTTTTTGAAAAACTGCACTGTAAAATAGAATACTATTAAATGCGCTTGTCACCAGCATCAATTACAACTTAAATAAAAAGGAAAGAGAAATTCTGAAGGTTTTCCCATGTTGTGCAAGATTATGAGGAATAAATATCGGGAGTTATCTCTGAACAGCCTGCAGAGCTGTCCACAGAACAGATCAGGATCATGATGCTCCCTGCTCTCTTATCTGCTATCAGTGAGGCCTAAGGTCTATATACTGTTCAGGTTGCAGTGTAAAACATATGTAAGGGCACTCTTACTACAGCTAAAGCTAGTATGATTCTCTTGATATTATGGTGCATGACCCGCACTGAGTGTTGGGGCCACTTAACTGAAGCCCCGGCATCATTTTAACCTTGTCACACTGCTATGATATCAGAAAGATATAAACATGAATGAAGTACATATTTAGTGTGGCTGATCGTCTTTTCCATCTGATGTACCAGTGAATTAGTCATCAGTGGTCTTAGAAAATTGAGCAACCATGGCTTTGTTCACTGCTACTGTACATGTATGATCAAAGATTGACACTGACTAATACAATGAAAAACCACACTTATCCCTCATGAAAGAGCCAGAAGCACAGAACAATTCAATATACTTATTACCACTTTATTTGCAAATGCATTGTAAATTTGAATGAAAAAAAAATAGACATGAAATGCATGATACATTCAAATCCATACAGTATGTATGAATACTGTAAGTATTCTTCATTACTTTTGGGATAATGTAGAAGATCTTATGTGTAAAAATATTCTCATTGTATGTACTGTAACACAGCAACAGCTGAATTTAAAGCCACATTTCACTACATACACTACATATAACACCTTCCAAACTTTCTGTTGTGACATGAAATGTGATACAAAAGTTTTAATAAAAAAATATTAGATTATAAAGAACATGAATACTTAATGTAGTAAAAGAAAACATTAACTCTATATTGTATTGTTTAACATGATTTCTAACTGTTACGGTCCTGGGTCAGTGACCCAGTGTTTTCTGTTTGTATTATTATTCCTTGATTTCATGTGTTGTTGCGGGTCTCTTGGTTTTGGTTTCTGTCTTAAGTATTCCTGGCTCCTTAGTTCTTTAGTTTTTTCTGAGTTCTAGTTCTTAGGTTTTGGTTCTGCGAGTCCCAGTTTTTTGCCCTGTGTGTCTATCGTTGTGTGAGTTCTTGTGCCATGCTTGCCCTTGTGTTTTGTGCCATTATGTTTATCGGGTTTATCAGGTTTGTTCTTATGTTTGTTCTGTTTTTGACTTATGCCTGCAATAAAGCAGTGGACCTTGAGTTTAAGTTCTGCCTCTACGAGTCTGCATACTGGGTCCTGCCTGCCTGCCACGCCTTATGATGACACTAACTTATTGTACAATGTTAGGGAGAAAATCACAAACATTTAAAATGAAAACACTGGCACAGTCATTGCATGAAAATATCATTAATGAACCTTTTAGAAATTTGCCTCCCTTAGAACGTGATTTAATAATGTTTGCGTCATCAAAACATTCCTACTGATATTTCAATTAATTTTTTTTACATCAAAGAGAAGTTAAAACATATATAATATAAAAACAAAACATCAGAGAAACATTTATAAAACATATTTCAGATGTTTAGCTATAATGTTATACCTAAATACTTCACCAGAAAACCTTATTTTATATTTGTGCCCATAGATTGTAACTTGATGGTCCATGAATGGTGGGAAATATGGGGGAATGGGACGTGACAAAGGTCTGATGGTTGAGAATGACAATTAGACTTCAGTTATGAGGAAAGGAGAAACTCAAACTATTGTCACTTCTCATAGCTCACCCAGTTTGGGTAGAAAGAATTGGACCCACTGCACCCACATCACACCCAAATTCCTTCCAAGCCATAGAAAATATGATTAAGCATATCTTGTCTTTGGCTTCACCTGGACAACGAAGATTTTCTTGTAAAACAAAAGGGGGTCTAGAAAAAAAAGTTTGGGAACCACTGAGTTATAGGAAAGGAGATGCTCAAACTACTGTCACTTCTCATAGCTCACCCACTTTCGATAGAAAGAATCACTTCCACAAGAAGGAGCCACTGGACCTACAGCACACAGGTCACCCAGCTTCATATAGAGCAAGGGCGGTAAAGCACAGATAAATTAATAAATTCACAATTCCAGATACATTCTGCTTTAAATGAGCACATTAGATGAATGCTCTCTTCCAGTGGATTCATGAACAACACTGAACTTCTGTAAAATATATTCAAATATACTCTCAGTATGAAACAGCTCTGCAGTTCATTATTATTATAGGTGTGATCACATTCTTGTGATTACAATATTAATTAAATAAAAAAAACCATTAGATTAAAATAATAATATTAGTATTGATATTAATAATAATCACTGTTACGTTCTAATCACGGCTTCCACAATCTATATATTAAAGTTGATACTGTACCATTTTGAGTATTTCCAGAGCCTCTGATTGTTTCATAGACAGAACGATCACCTACAAGTCAGAGAAAATGATTCACCACATAATGTAAACACAAGTATTCTTGTCAATAACATTTATATTAAGTTAAGATAAGCTTTCATGTCAGTGTAAGCACAAACATACATTGAAATTGGAAATTTTATTATTACTTAGAAATGCTGTACATGTTTAAATGTTGTTATTGTCTTAGCTTTGTTTAATTCAACAGTGTTAAAGCTGCAGCAGAGAAAAGCATCAGGATATTTTAAACAAGATAAAAAACTAACCATGAATGAGAGAGGAGTAGACTTGTTGTTGATTTTCATCCTGACTCACCCTCTGCTCATCGGCAGAACCTTTATTAAAAATTCAAAATAAGACACTAACGTTCACATAGTTTATTATGTTTTATACAATATTGTGAACAGTTTTCAGTTTTGGAATGTTGCATCTCCATATTTAAATATTTTAAAGAGTAAAATATGTAATATCAGAAGAAAAAAAAGTCTCACATTTCTTTCTGTAGACCTTTTTGTACAGGAACAGGAACAGGAGGAAAATAAATATGATTCCAGGAATGAGTCCAGTGATCATCAGAACAGGAAATGGAGAACTCAGCACAGCTATTGCAAATAAGGAAAATGAACTGTTAACTTTATTAAACATAAGCGAATTGAACAAAGTCAGAGTTAAGTCTTAAAAGTAAACTCTAATTTAAATATATAACAATATTATATAACCTCTTCACTGAATTTGGCACACTTGACAACCTTTTAAACACTGGCACCACTTGCTGTAAATAACAGTCATGGTTCCTTTTAGGTTTGTCAAGTGATTTATGTTTGTGTTGTGTTCTCTGTTTTTAGTATTTTTGCATTATTATTTTACCTGCCCAGTGTCACTTTTGTATATTTATCTTGTATTTCAGGTCTGATACTTCATATGGCTTCTTTATAATTTATTTTGGGATGGGAAATGGGACATACAGTGGCTTGCAAAAGTATCCGCCCCCCTTGAACTTTTCCACATTTTGTCACATTACAGCCACAAACAGGAATCAATTTTATTGGAATTCCACGTGAAAGACCAATACAAAGTTTTACAAATAAATAACTGAAAAGTGGGGTGTGCGTAATTATTCAGCCCCCTGAGTCAATACTTTGTAGAACCACCTTTTGCTGCAATTACAGCTGCCAGTCTTTTAGGGTCTGTCTCTACCAGCTTTGCATATCAGCGACTGAAATTCTTGCCCATTCTTCTTTGCAAAACAGCTCCAGCTCAGTCAGATTAGATGGACAGCGTTTGTGAACAGCAGTTTTCAGATCTTGCCACAGATTCTCGATTGGATTTAGATCTGGACTTTGACTGGGCCAGTCTAACTCATGGATATGTTTTGTTTTAAACGGTTCCATTGTTGGCCTGGCTTTATGTTTAGGGTCGTTGTCCTGCTGGAAGGTGAACCTCCGCCCCAGTCTCAAGTCTTTTGCAGACTCCAAGAGGTTTTCTTCCAGGATTGCCCTGTATTTGGCTCCATCCATCTTCCCATCAACTCTGACCAGCTTCCTGTCCCTGCTGAAGAGAAGCACCCCCAGAGCATGATGCTGCCACCACCATATTTGACAGAGGGGATGGTGTGTTCAAAGTAATGTGCAGTGTTAGTTTTCCGCCACACATAGCGTTTTGCATTTTGGCCAAAAAGTTCAATTTTGGTCTCATCTGACCAGAGCACCTTCTTCTACATGTTTGCTGTGTGGCTTGTGGCAAACTGCAAACGGGACTTCTTATGGTTTCCACAGATTCTTGTTTGGATTTAGACACCAGACAGGTCAGGGATAAAGTTATTGAGAAATTTAAAGCAGGCTTAGGCTACAAAAATATTTCCTAAGCCTTGAACATCCCACGGAGCACTGTTCAAGTGATCATTCAGAAATGAAAGGAGTGTGGCACAACTGTAAACCTACCGAGACAAGGCCGTCCACCTAAACTCACAGGCCGAACAAGGAGAGCGCTGATCAGAAATGCAGCCAAGAGGCCCATGGTGACCAGTGTTGCCAACTTAGCGACTTTGTCGCTATATTTAGCGAGTTTTCAGACCCCCTTAGCGACTTTTTTTGTAAAAAGCGACTAGCGACAAATCTGGCAACTTTTTCTGGTGTTATTGGAGCCTTATTTATGATGACTTTTTGACGTGAAAACGCGTATTGCTCTTACTCTCAATAAGCAGCGGGTGCTGCCATGGGTACCTCACCCGTGCCAAAGCGCTCACAGGTGGAGGATAGTCCTCCCCCAGCTGCTATCAGGGCAGGAGACGTTCACACCTGTGAGTCCAAACTGCAAATGAATCGCGCATGAGCGAAGCCGCTGCTCCCGCACTGACTGTAACGCAGTCAGTTCTTTTACTGTTATGTTGTTTTATGGGCCACAAGGTTTAAAACTACTTATAAACACACACAAAGTAACTCCACCAGAGTTCCTATTTTGGGTCACTTTTTCCGGCTCAAGCCCGGATAAAGGAGCAGGGTTGGAATTGTGACATTAAAAAAACAATAATTGCCAAAAGACATTAATTATAAATGCATCTAAGACGTTTTTTACTGACTTTATCTCTCTTCCACGATGTTATTTCTCTGTCCAACAGCGTAGGTTACAATTACATTATCATGACCAATTATGCAAATTAGGTGATGACGTCAATTAGTGACAGCTAGTGACTTAGCGATTTTCCTTACTGAGGAGTTGGCAACACTCATGGTGACTCTGGACGAGCTGCAGAGATCTACAGCTCAGGTGGGGGAATCTGTCCATAGGACAACTATTAGTCGTGCACTGCACAAAGTTGGCCTTTATGGAAGAGTGGCAAGAAGAAAGCCATTGTTAACAGAAAACCATAAGAAGTCTCGTTTGCAGTTTGCCACGAGCCACACAGCAAACATGTGGAAGAAGGTGCTCTGGTCAGATGAGACCAAAATTGAACTTTTTGGCCAAAATGCAAAACGCTATGTGTGGCGGAAAACTAACACTGCACATTACTTTGAACACACCATCCCCTCTGTCAAATATGGTGGTGGCAGCATCATGCTCTGGGGGTGCTTCTCTTCAGCAGGGACAGGGAAGCTGGTCAGAGTTGATGGGAAGATGGATGGAGCCAAATACAGGGCAATCCTGGAAGAAAACCTCTTGGAGTCTGTAAAAGACTTGAGACTGGGGCGGAGGTTCACCTTCCAGCAGGACAACGACCCTAAACATAAAGCCAGGGCAACAATGGAATGGTTTAAAACAAAACATATCCATGTGTTAGAATGGCCCAGTCAAAGTCCAGATCTAAATCCAATCGAGAATCTGTGACAAGATCTGAAAAATGCTGTTCACAAACGCTGTCCATCTAATCTGACTGAGCTGGAGCTGTTTTGCAAAAAGAATGGGCAAGGATTTCAGTCTCTAGATGTGCAAAGCTGGTAGAGACATACCCTGAAAGACTGGCAGCTGTAATTGCAGCAAAAGGTGGTTCTAGTATTGACTCAGGGGGCTGAATAATTACGCACACCCCACTTTGCAGTTATTTATTTGTAAAAAATGTTTGGAATCATGTATGATTTTTGTTCCACTTCTCACGTGTACACCACTTTGTATTGATCTTTCACGTGGAATTCCAATAAAATTGCTTCATGTTTGTGGCTGTAATGTGACAAAATGTGGAAAAGTTCAGCCGAATACTTTTGCAAACCACTGTAAATGAGCTCAGCTTCTGTGTACAGTAATAATCGAATATCACACTAGATTTGACGCCAGGCGACTGTGGAATGGACTGCGCTGCATCACTGACAACAAGAACGAAAACAGGCAGTGTTCAGCTCACCGCATCTCTCACAGACGAGCTTAACAACTTCTACGCTCGTTTTGATGCAGACAACAAAAAGCAGATCCTCTTCCCTCAGGAAGACAGTGAGGCTGTAACTCTAACACTCAAAACAGAAGATGTGAGATGGTCAATCCTCACAAAGCTGTTCCTTGTTACCATCTGACAGGTGTTACAGGAGTCTGTCTGCTCAGACTACAAGACTTAAAAACTGTTTTTACCACCAAGTTTTTACTATTCGACACCTCAACCACAACACTTAAACACACACAACACACTCAACAGGAGACAGAAACTGTCCTACAATTTCACAGGTACATACTACACTCTGCACTGGTCACCTCATTTTTATTAGTATTTTCATAAAAATAAAAACCCTTATTCCATGCAATACTGTACTAACTGCCACTCAAAAATGTTGTACTGCTCAGTTTCACTCCTGCCACTTTATCCCCATCCCAAACTGAAACTGATTTGTCTGTGAGTCCTTAATAAACTGGCCACTCTTTAGGGTGTTTTATTATCTTAATATGCTAGCCTCCTGTTGTAGCTGTCTGCAGGTGACTGGGGGTGCTGAGGATGGTAACAATAATCACAGTCACAGAGTAGCATTATTTTTGATGTTTTTTCTTGATCATTGCTTCTTGTTAAATATATATATAGATACACACACACACACACACACACACACACACACACACACACACACACACACACACACACACACATATCTCTCTCTTTCTCTCTCTGTGTGAGTGAATGTATATTTCAAACTAAATGACTGAACTCACAGGTTATCTCAATGGTGACATCATCACTTATATCAGTGTAGTAAACTGGGTTTCCTCTTGTTCCTCTGCAGCTGTAGATTCCTCCTTCAGATACTCTGATATCTCTGTTTTGTTGATCTCTGATTTGACCTTCAGAGGTTGTTTGGGTTCGTCTGAACCACTCATATTTCCATCCATCAGAGCTCTGCACAGAGCAGGTCAGTGTCACACTGCCCCCTACTGGTATGATTGTTGTTGCTGCTGTCAGTGTGGCCCTGGGTTTATCTGCTGTTGTGATAGAGGAAGAAAAATAAATAAATATCTGTGATTCGTTATAACAACATATGAACATTGAAAAACAATACAGTTTATATTTTTATTAGTTGATCTCTAAATGACCACAGCATAAATGTTTGTCTATTCTCTGTTGAAGGAAACACAATGATGCATTAAAATGTCTCTTCCTCATGTTTTGGTTTAGATAACAGAAACATCGTCACTTTAAACTTCATGAAGCTTTTGATGTTTCTTATGTTTCTTCTTTTCCTTTAGAAATGTAATTAAATTGAATTTCATCCATAATTGCTGTTGTTAAAACTCACACACCTGCTAATGATAGATTACAGAGTCTGTGAGTATTGTAGCACTGACTTTACTGTGAACGAAGTAACAGGTACAGTGATCTTGGTTAAAATTCAAGTTTCAGTGACAAATTTAATTAAATGTTCTCTATTTTATAATTCAGTTGAGTATTTGAACAGGGATCATATATTTGTGCTGTCGGTCACTGAAGACTTACCTAATACAGTTATAGAGACAGTATTACTGTTCTTTATATGATGTGAGCTCACCCTGCTACCAGAGCACTGATATTCACCACTGTCACCTGTAGATTTAATTTCAAATCTGTAGTCTTTGTCTGTGTTGTAGGCCACAAATTCTCGACCATCCTTCTTGATTTCGTAATACCAGTCAGTGTCTCTTCCTTCATTCATGTCACACTTGAAGGTAGCAAACTCTCCAATGAAATAACTGGACGAGCTGGGTTCAATAGTTAGCACAGCATCTAGAATCCAACACAACCACAAAGTTAACAATCTGAAACACTTTTATGCATCTGTGACATACTGTCACAGATGCATACACAGACACTGTTCATATATTGTTCATATATATATTTTACTATTCAAAACACAAACTGTGTTTATATTCATAAAATTATAAATTAGTGATGAACAATGAAATAAAAACAACAATGTGAAGTGCTTAAGACTGATAAAGCAGTTAAGATGAATCTTTACTGAATAAATAAAAAAGAAAGAAACAAGAAAAGTAAAACTTTTCAGTCACCTTGAACATGTCCAGTGCAGAGTAGCGTACAGAGCACTACAATAAAGAAAAAAATGTCAGACATTATCAAATAAAAGACACTCAAAATGTGTGTGTAGCTTGTCAATCATACAGATCATGGTAGTGTGTTTATGTCATACTTGAGTGTCTAAGGAGCTCGGTGAGAAAGTGACTGGACTTCTTTAGGTTTCCTGAAGGTGTTTCATATCTTTTCTGAGAAGATTCTTCAGTTCTTCAGATCTATCTATCTATCTCTCTATCTCTATCTCTCTATCTCTCTCTCTGTGGTGTGTGTGTGTGTGTGTGTGTTCGTGTGTGAGTGAGAGGCTGACAAGTCTGGTGTGTATGTTTCTGTGTCAAGAAATGTACTTGATAATGAGGGTAGGAAGTCACAATAACACGCAGACAGAGATGGGAGAACTGCGCTATTTTCAGCCCTCAAGACTACCGAAGACCTGAGAGGGTTCAAAATTATTTTGAGGCCTTGCTTCACCCTATTATGTGGCCTACTGACAACACCTGATGCTAGATGGGAGTAGGGATTCAGGCTCCTCGGAAGGGATCTCAAAAATGCATTCTAGGTGGCAGACTGTAAGGGATGCCATGACTAGAGTTTAAATAGCTGCATTCCCCATGTTTTGGTTTTAGAACTGTAAAAACTTCTCGGTTGAGAGGTGAAACATCTCCACAAAACTTCAAGTTGTCTTCTGTCCAAGCTCTGTAGAAACTCAAATATCGTAGACACATGCCCAGAACTGCTCAACCCATGGCGGAGAGCAGAGAGAGCATCAAAAGGGTAGAAAACCCAACACTAGAAATTTTATTGTGATAAACCATAACGCTGGTTGACTGATACAGCTGTCTCAGGGCCTCCTGGGGGCTGTGAAGTTAACCTCATGGTAGTGAAACCTAACCAAGGAATGATAAAAGAAAAGAAAAAGAAAAAAAATTCCACTCTTCTCCCCTCTGTTCTTTTTCTTTTTTCATTTTCTGAGAGGCAGTGGGGAGGTAGAGTGTACAGCCCTATCCGGCGGGGAGGTGTGGGATGCCAGATCAGGTGTCTCCCTTCTGTCTCTCCTCTCTCCTATCTTTTCTCTTTAGTCTTACTTCCCTCTATCACCTTTTCTATCCCTTTGAAGAAGTGAGGCTCCATAAATATTAAAGAGGTAAGTATTACTTCTTGTTTTACAGTGAATTGATGGAAGAAAATAAAATGTAGAAAAATAAACAGAAGAAAATAGAAGAGAAACAACAATATAACATAAACCAGTAACACACCCCAGGGCCTGATCAACCCTGGCAGGCCCTCCTTGGATGAGGGTGTCTAGTGATAATGGCCGAAACACCCGATGAATCCAAGGTCCACTACTGATGTCACAAAATTTTATTTTATAATCTAGATCAGATCTCTAATCCCTAAACCTAACCAAGGAAGGTAAAATAATCTAAAAAAACTGGCAAAATAGCTTTTGATAAAAGACTGAAACACCCTGTTAAGTTGAGGCATACAATGATGTGTCTCTCTGGTAAAGTTTCCAGGCTGCCATCCCTCAAGACTTTCTCCATTTGAATGAATGCATAATCAGGGATTGTAACTTCTAGTCCTTTTATTGAATCATAAATAAAACACTTGGAGTTTTACTGGTGTCTACTGAGATTTGTGACATTTTGTATTAAGATGTAAAATTAATATTCAATTCGCTGATGGAGAAACAAACATTTCTTAGATAAACTAAAGCAGCTCCACTCTGATCTGAGTCAGTGCACTAAAATCTAATCCAGTCTACAAACAACCATGTTGGTAACAAACACGAGAGTCCTCTGATCACATGACCTGCAATAGTACAAATGACTGATGCTCTGTTCTTCTTACTAAAACATGTTTATGGATCAGTATGAATCAAACAATAGAAGTCAGTGATGAACTCACAGAATAGGCCCAGCTCACAGAGCAAAGTGGCTCCCATCCTCACATCCAGCAGTGACACGTCTGAAAACTTCTACAACTTTCTGTAAAGAGAGAGAGTGAAGCAGCAGCACAGCAGATACCAAAGAACTGAGAAGGAAACAAAGAGGTTTTTTTTCACTTCTTCTCTCTGCTTCCTTCCTTTTCAACAGAACTAACACTCTTTAACAAGATCTGACCACAGCATGACGTGTTTATACTCTTTTATATTTATTTCAATTTTCATCTCTCCAGGGTGTATCCCACGTCTCATCCTAAAACAGCTTTGATCGGCTCCAAAGCATCTGAGACGCTCAACTTTATAAACAATTAAGAAAATATTTAAAATAAAGTATTTCATTACACTAATGCAGATTTTTTTTAACATGAAATTGTGGTTTGCTGATAAATTCACCCACATGACGTGAGCAAGCTCAAGCTAAACAGAAATAGTGTCGTTAACCAGAAGTGGACATGAGGCAAGAGGAAGTCTTTCCCCCTCTCTCAGATTATATCTCTGTTACTTTAAAAGTGCTGCTGTGTTTATGGTGATGTCAGCTTGGCTGAGTTGCTGAGGCTCATGGGTCATGGTTTTGAAATCAAATAAACTTTAAACATGTGACAAAGGTGTAAGTGTGACATGCTAAACTTCAATGCCACATCAGTGCCAAAGTTTCACAGTTTGTACTTTATACTTTACAGAAGAAAAGGAAGAAAATGCAAAAAAAAAGTAAAAGCACAATGTTGCTTCAGCCGCATTTACACCTGTTTATTTGTATTTATTTATTACTATTATTTTTTAATGGGTAACTACTATACACAGATCACAGCCACTTAGCAGTGGGTGTTTTCCCTTTTCACACTCTGGAAACCTTTTAAGAGACAGAAGCTCAGGATGTCTTCAAATAACTCATCAGTTTCACAAGAGATACCACAGAGTGAGATTTAAGCTATGTCCAAACTAGCCTGGATAGATTTGAAAACGGCGTTTTTGTCTGAAAACGCTCCGCGTTTACACTATCGTTTTCAGTCGTTTTCACAGAGTTGTGCGTCCACATTGAAACGGCCTAAAACGCTTACGTTCCAGTAGTGTGCATGCGTGAAATGCAAGAAGATTCGGCCTGTCTAATTTCTGTCTGCTGTTTATTTACTTTCCGGTGTTGTGCCAAAAAGTGATTGTCTGCCAAAAACTGATTTCCAATGTTTCTGTGTATTTTTTATGTGTAATATCTTTACGTATGTTCGTAAAAAGACTTCGGTGAACAGGGTTTACAAAGGGGTTATATAGAGAATTAAAACAATATCTGTTTTTCAAGTATCTTTACAACTCTCTGCTATTGTACTTACATTATAACCAATCCGGTCCTTTATCCCCACTTAAAATATTTTTACAGAAATATTGTAATATTTGCTGCCATGTCTGCTGTCCTCTTGGCCAACTTACTCTTACAAAAGACATTTATAATGTTAATGAGATTTTTTTAACTGTATAAAGTCACTGCCAAAAACTGATTGCGGCTTCTACCTTGTTACACGAATGTTGTTTGTGGCTCAAGATGACTTTATGTCATCCATGAGGGATGCATTTGACATATGTTTCACATATTATAGCCCAACAAGTTACTTATAGCAGTTTAAATACGAGCAATCAGTTTTTGGCAAATACCGGAAATCAGTTTTTGGCAGACAATCACTTTTTGGCACAACACCGGCTCATTGAAACATTGCGGCAAAATGTTGAGGAAAAGCAACACATTTTTTAAATGGACTAACAATGAGGTGGAGTTGCTGCTGCGAGTAACACAACAGTAAAAGGTTTGAAGAAAAGCTATCTGGAGCATGTACAAACTGATATTGATCTTTAATAGGGCTGTCAAAATTGAGAGCAAACAAAACAACTGCTGTATAATGCCCTCTGCTATCTTTGTTAAATTGGTCACATGACTGCATCACATGACTAAAATGTGTCATTGTTTTCGAAAGTCTCCGTTTTCACTGTCCACACTGTGACGCAAATGCACCGTCTTCAAATTTATTCGTTTTCGAGAGCATTTTCAAAATGCTGTTTTTTTCCTTGGGGAAAACGCCATCCCAATGTGGACGGGAGGCCAAAACGGAGAGAAAACAATGTGGACGTAGCCTTACACAGCACTTTTCTAGTTTTAATGACTGTTAAAAGTTAAAACTGTGTAAATGTATGCATTTCAATAAAAAGACTGTAAGCAGAGGCCAGAGCTGGAGTCATCTGAGGTTGGGTGCAGAGCTTGCAGCTTGCAATTAAAAATAGGCTGACCTTTAACTATCTTGCTTCGTTCACGGTGATAAGTCTCTGAACCAGTGAGGCCTGCGAGTGCACACCTAACACACCTTAATGAAAAGAAAAAAGAAGTTCTGTAGGTTTTCCCATTTTGTGCAAGTTTATGAGGAATAAATATTTGGAGTTATCTCTGAACCTCCAGCCTTCAGAGCTAAGAACAGCTTAGGATCATGCTGCCCCCTGCTGGTGCAACTCTTTATCTGCTGTCAGTGAGGCTTGAGGTCTGTGGAATCAGAACGATGCCACCTTGAAACGAAACCGAAAAATGGATTGAAACCGAAAAAAAATATTGTAACTGAAATAAATGTACTGAAAAATCTTGTATTGAAACCGAAAAAAAAATTGATAGTGAAAAACAATTAATTGAAACTGTAATTTTTTTG